GGCCACTGTGACTTCTGCCGGGACATGAAGAAATTTGGGGGTCCCAACAAGATCCGGCAGAAGTGCCGGCTACGCCAGTGCCAGCTTCGGGCTCGGGTGAGCATGGACAGAGCTGGGCAGGGTTGGTGGGGGGTGTGCCAGTGTGTCCAGAAAGAGCTGATTAAAGCTAGGATGGGTGGGCCAGGCAGGGCAGGGCCTAATTATATACAGGTGGGTGGGAAGGTGCCTGTCCTGTCCAGATGAATGGGGCATGACCAGGTGTGCTTGACTAGCAGAGGAGCCCTCCAATCCCAGGTGGGCTGTGCAGGGCCAGAGGTTTCTAGGTGGTCATGGGCAGGTGGAGAAGAGCTGAGCATGTCCTCGTGATGAGGGTGGGGGAGCAGGTGTGTCTGGGGATGCAAGGCTGGGCTCGTTGGTGGGACCAGGCACTTGAGGGAGGGGCTAGGGCAGGGCCACCCTCCATCCACCTGGGGCTGACCTGGGCCTTCCTCCTGCCGGCACAGGAATCGTACAAGTACTTCCCTTCCTCGGTGAGTCCAGTCCCCCAGGGCAGGGCGGGGTGGGGCATGCGGGCAGGATGGTCAGGGCCAGTCCTGAGATTCTGCCCCGCAGCTCTCGCCAGTGACGCCCTCAGAGTCCCTGCCAAGGCCTCGCAGGCCACTGCCCACCCAGCAGCAGCCACAGCCATCACAGAAGCTGGGGCGCATCCGTGACGACGAGGGGGCAGTGGCATCTTCAGCAGTCAAGGAGCCACCTGAGGCTATGGCCACACCTGAGCCACTCTCAGATGAGGACCTACCACTGGACCCTGACCTGTACCAGGACTTCTGTGCGGGGGCTTTTGATGACCATGGCCTGGTGAGCAGGCAGAGTGTCCCCTAGTGGAAGGGTGGAGATTACAGCAGCAGAGAGGAGTACCCATGAGGAGAGAGAAGACAGAGTATGGAAGACTGACTTGGGCCTGAGTAGGTGGTGGGGAGTCATGAGCAGGGCAGGTAGGTCACTGTGTGTTTCACTTGCAGCCCTGGATGAGTGACACAGAGGAGTCCCCATTTCTGGACCCTGCACTGCGAAAGAGGGCAGTGAAAGTGAAACATGTGAAACGTCGGGAGAAGAAGTCTGAGAAGAAGGTGATAGAGAGTGAAATGGGTGTGGGAAAGCACAGGGCAGGTGGGGAAGAAGCCAAGATCAGGGGCTGAACATGGCAAGAGCTAGAAGAGGGTGGAATGCAGGGGACATGGGTCTACGGCTGACTTAGGCTCCTCCTGATCTGACTTGCCTTGTCCCATAGAAGGAGGAGAGATACAAACGGCATCGGCAGAAGCAGAAGCACAAGGACAAGTGGAAACACCCGGAGCGCGCTGATGCCAAGGACCCTGCATCACTACCACAGTGCCTGGGGCCTGGCTGTGTGCGCCCTGCCCAGCCCGGCTCCAAGTATTGCTCAGATGACTGTGGCATGAAACTGGCAGCCAAGTAAGTTCTTCCTAGAGGGTTTATGGGTGTACAGGGTAAGGCATGACCAGAGCCCATTGTATATCCTGAATGACAGGACAGTCACCACCTGTTCACCACACACTCAACTAAGCACCCACCCACCCATTCATCTCTCTGTCATCACCCATCCATTCTGCCATCCTTGGATCACCCCATTTAATCAATCATCTTATTGCTTGCCACCTTCCCTGCCTACACCCATCTCATTGCCTCCCTGCAGTCGCATCTACGAGATCCTCCCCCAGCGCATCCAGCAGTGGCAGCAGAGCCCCTGCATTGCTGAGGAGCATGGCAAGAAGCTGCTTGAACGCATCCGCCGTGAGCAGCAGAGTGCCCGCACCCGCCTTCAGGAGATGGAGCGCCGATTTCATGAGCTGGAGGCCATCATTCTGCGTGCCAAGCAGCAGGCTGTGCGCGAGGATGAAGAAGTAAGCTAGCGTGTGTGCAGTAGTGTGGGGCCCAGGACATGGGCCTACCCGGCTCATCTTTCCTTCCACCCCATGCAGAGCAATGAGGGTGACAGTGATGACACGGACCTGCAGATTTTCTGTGTCTCCTGTGGGCACCCCATCAACCCACGTGTTGCCTTACGCCACATGGAGCGCTGCTATGCCAAGGTCAGGGTGTCAGCCTGAGGGGGCGTTGGGCGACAAATGTGTTGTCTGGGTGTTGTCTTGGGAGGGCATGCAGCACACATCCACAGTTCCCTCCATTTGTGCTCTTCCCTCCAGTATGAGAGCCAGACGTCCTTTGGGTCCATGTACCCCACACGCATTGAAGGGTGAGTGTGCATGCTATGTGCAGTTAGAGCAGGGAGATTGAGGGGGAGTCAGAAGTGGAATGTTGGGGCAGGATATGGTTATGGCTAAGGGTAAATGGGCTCCTCCTCTCCCTCCACTACCCTCTGTACTCCAAACCCCAGGGCCACACGACTTTTCTGTGATGTCTACAATCCTCAGAGCAAGACATACTGTAAACGGCTCCAGGTGCTGTGCCCTGAGCACTCACGGGACCCCAAAGTAAGGTTTTTTCCTCAATTACCCCCATTCTGTCCTTCTCTTCCTCACTACCCCACATTCTTTCCTTCCATCCCATCTTTCCTGCCCCCTACCTGACCACTTCTGTACTCTCACTTCCCCTGCCATCTCATCCTCCATTCCTCTCCTTTGTCCTGTCTCATCACCTCCTATTCCTCCCCTTTGCCATTCCTCTCCACGCTCCTCAGCTATCCATTTCTTCCCTCCTCCCTGACCACTCCCCATTCCCATCTTCCTTCCTGCCTCCACACCCCTCTTCATCCCCATCCCTGGTCTCTGCAGGTGCCAGCTGATGAGGTATGTGGGTGCCCCCTTGTACGTGATGTCTTTGAGCTCACAGGTGACTTCTGCCGCCTGCCCAAGCGCCAGTGTAACCGCCATTACTGCTGGGAGAAGTTGAGGCGTGCTGAAGTGGACTTGGAGCGTGTGCGCGTGGTAGGTTTGGGTGCAGGATTGGGCCATGGTCAGGTGGATTCTGGAACCCTTTCTCATGGGTCTTTCTGCTCCCCTGCAGTGGTACAAGTTGGATGAGCTGTTTGAGCAGGAGCGCAATGTACGCACAGCCATGACAAACCGGGCAGGATTACTGGCCCTGATGCTGCACCAGACAATCCAGCACGATCCACTCACAACAGACCTGCGCTCCAGTGCTGACCGTTGAGTCTCCCTCGCCCAGACATCCTCACACCCTGCATTCCAGGCTGGGGAGCTACCCTAAATCCCCAGTTTTTTCATTTTGTCATTTATCTGTTTCTCCATTGGTTCCCGAATTCCTCCCTCTGCTCATCCACCATTTGACTGCCTGTCTGCCCTGGCAGACGGTATCAGAATTTTCTCCTGTCCTTGACTATTTCTTTGTGCCTGGTGGGATTATGGAACCTGCTCAACCTTGTATTCTCCCTCACTGGTTTTGTTAATAAAATTTTGAAGAACCAAGAAAGATAACTACTAATGGTCTCCAAACTTTATCCAGTTGCAACTGCATTCCAAAACCCCTGAGGTAGATAACAAGCTGTGGCACATCTGTATCCAGCAGTGGCTGTAGTACATGCGTGGGTTTTGATTTAACAGTTGGCTTCTGCTGTGTGGTCTGTAGTGCCTCCTCACCACTGCCACCACCATCCCCCTCCTTGGGCTATGTGGATATGACCTGCTGAGGGTGATGTTGGGGTTCTCCTGAGCCTGATTTAAGGTCCAGGTTCCTGTCTTTGCTGTAATAGAGAATTCAGAGACAAAGGGCAATGAGCCAAGCAGCAGAGTTTTATTTAAAGTGAAAAGTACATACTAAGGAGTGCAGGCAATCTCAGAGGAGAGGTGTGTTTAAAGTTTTAGGGTTTTTTTATAGGGCCTTTTGAGTACAGGTCGGTATAAGGCAAGATTTATATACATTTATATATTTGAAGTTTATATATTTATATACATTAATATTTGAAGTTTAGTATTAGTAGTTGTCCAGGTGACCATGTTGATTATTGTCTTGGTGACCTTTATTCAATCAAAGTTGACACTCTGGAGATCTGTTCTTTATCCTGGATATAACATTAATTGGTTAATGTGACAGGAAGAAGGAAAAACATTAAAGATCATGTTAACAAATAAACTAGGCCTTTGTTCATAGGTCAAAAAATATTTTATAGTCAGCAGACGCTTGTCCCACGTCCCTGCCTTTAACTCGACAAGAGAGCCCAATAATTTACATTCTCAGCCTCATATTTTGAGACTGGGCATACAACCCGCACTCAGCATATGGCTGATACACCACTCCCGTGTGAGCATTAATCTCCAGAGCTGGAGAGATGTATTCAGTGATGGACATAAGGCCCCCCTCTCCTCACAAGCCCCTCTTTTGGGACAGGAGCCCACTGAGTTAGTACCGGGAAACCCCAACCCGCCTTCCCTCAATGTCGGGTCCACTAGGCCCCCACGGCCTTTTCAGAAGTTCCCGCGGAAGGAGCTGGGGCCAACGTGCGGCATGACTTGTCTACGTGCAGTCCTGCCACTGTTCAGCAAGACGGAGAGCGGGACGTAATAGCTCTGGAGATGCTCGGTAGAACAGCAGAGCACAGTCGGGATTTGGACAAGAAGTAGGACAAGAGTGCTCCGGCACAACTCCAGCCTTCCCTCCCCGTTACTCCTTGAGGAGACCGTCAAGAACATAGTACAGGACCAACCCCAACCCTCTACAGCCCCTTGGTCTGGGATTTGAGAGTGCCGGCGCAAACGAGGTGGGCGGAGTAGGGAGAACGCGTCCGTTGGCGAAGCGAGGAGCTCTGGCGCTGCAGGTCTCCGGCTGAGCGTGAGCCGAAGTTGGATGTCAGCGCGCAAGCGCTGGTTCGCAGCAGGGGGTGCGGGTAGCTGCGGTACTCAGTACGCAGGCGCGGGGTCCTCCCCACTAAGGGCAGGCGCCGGTGGGGTTTTAGCGCGCAGGCGTCTCTCGCCGGGGGCGGGGCCCGAGAGGCGGGCAGCGGATTTCCGATTCCGGGAGTAACGAACGGCCGCGGCGGCGACAGCTCTAGCTTCGGAGCAGCGGTTGCGGAGGAGGAAGAAGAGCAGGGAAAGGCGGGAGTCACAGGCGGGACCCTAGCCATGGGTCCGCGGACTTAGAGCAGCGCAAGCCACCGGCCCTGTGCCGAGCTGGTGAGACAGTCGTGGGGGTGGAAGTGGAGTGCGCTTAGACGGACTATGGGGAAGAATTGAGGCTCCGAACGCTGACGGAGAGGAATGAAGGGCCCTCAGGCCGATGAGTGGGAGGAATGGCGGCTTGGAATATTGAAGGGGAGGAATGGGGAGGTTTAGGCGAAGGGCGGAGAGGAATGGGGCTCAGAACTCTGACAGGTGGAAGTGTCGGGATCCTGGACGTGGACGGAGAGGAATAGGGGAAGGTTCCAACGCCGAACGGAGACATCTTAGGTTAGAGAGAGAGTAACGGGGGTTCAGAAGGCCAAGGGGAAGACATGAGGGCCTTCAGGCTAATGACGGGGAGAAATGGCGTTGGGGTGCTGGAAGGGAGGGGTGGGGGACTCACATGGAGGAGGAGAAATAGGGATGTCAGAACGGTGTTAAGTATGGCATGATACTGGGACGAGAACGGAGAGGAATGGGGGGTTCAGAATGCCGAGGGGAAAAATCAGGATCTCAGACTGCATAGAGGAATGCAGGATGAGGGTGCTGAAGGAAAGTAGTGAGGGAACTTTTAAGCTGCAGAGGAGAGGAATGCGGGAGTTTGGAGGCTGAGGTTGGCGAGGAATTATGGCTCAGAACACTGACAGGGAAAACGGGAAGGAGGCTTTCAGATTGAGGAACAGAATGAATGAGGGGCTGTTCAGGTCAAGGATATGAAGAATTGAGGGCTTTTTGGGAAGAGGACACAGAAAATGGAGGCAGTAACACTGAGGTAGTAGGGTCCCGAGGACATCAGACAAGGTAGGAATGAAAAAGTTGGACGACTGAAAGAGAAATTGGGGGGACTCCTGGGTCAAGGAAGGGAGTGAATCGGAGGTCAGAACTCTGAGGTAGAATACAGGGATCTTGGTCTGAGGATGAGTGGAATGGGGGCCTCTTGGGCTGATGGGAAGAATGAGGCCTCTCCAGCTGAGGCTGGGGAGTATAGAGGTCTCAGAGTGACAGGGGAGGAAAGGAGCCAACAGGTCAAAGACAGAGTGTCTCCTCACCTCCTGAGGTGCAGAAGAATAGAAGAATAGAAGAGCGAGGATATGAGAATTCTTGGGTTGAGGATGGGGCTACCAGGTCAAAGGGCAGGAATTACAAGCCTCTAGGCCCTGGACAAGGAAGAATGGGGTGGGAATGGGGGTTTTCTCTTCCTTATATCTGCCAGTTGCCTGTAGCTGGTCCCAGGTCTTGGATGAGCATTAATAGATAACAGTAGTTTGGGTGGCCTGGAGCACATGCCGACTCCTAGAGCTTCAGTTTCCCCCATTGTTTCTTCCCTGTGGCAGGCTGCTGTTCCTTCCTGTGGCCCCCATGGCTGAGGACTGGCTGGACTGCCCAGCCCTGGGCCCTGGCTGGAAGCGTCGTGAGGTCTTTCGAAAGTCAGGAGCCACCTGCGGACGCTCAGATACCTATTACCAAAGGTACTGCGTGTTTTATGAATAAACTCAGGGATAAGGTTAAGCCGAGTTAGGCAGGGTGAAATCAGGGGGTGTGGTTAAGTTTGTGGGTGGGGTTAAAATGCAGATACAGTTGACCGTCATTATTTATAGATTCCATATTTGCAAATTCATCTACTCACTAAAATTTGTGCTACCAAAGTCATTACTCACTGTGCTTTCATTGTCAGTTGTGGACATGTACAGAGCTGCAAAAAGTGTAAGTCACCTAATACACCCATTCCACCTGAGGTTGAATGAGACCTTCTTATTTCAGCTCCTGTATTATAAACAGTGTCCTTTTAGCAGTCTACTTAGTGTTTTGTGTTTTTTTTCGCATTTTTTGCAAATGTTTTTCACATTTTTGTACTTTCTATTGGTGATTTTGGTATTTACAGTGGCCTCCAAGCATTGTCCTGAAGTGCTGTCTAGCATTATAAGTGCAAGAAGTCTGTGGTGTGCCATATGGAGCAAATACATGTTAAATAAGCTTTGTTCAGGTGTGAGTTGCATTGTAGTTGGCTGTAATTTCAATGCTAATGAATCAAAAGTGCAGTACATCTAGAAAAATAAGAGGAAATTTGCCAATTTGTACATGAGGCTGCCCTGAAAAGTACTAAAGTAACATCTATAGTATGTGAGGAAACTAAGAAAAGGGTAGAAAAATGACTAAATTTGTGGGTTCATGAAGTGATGACCAATAAAGTGTAGTGGACAGCTTGTGAGGCTGAAAGCCAAGACATTGATGATTGTATTACCCAAAGTTAGGAAAAAGTTAAGCTTATCTCAACTAGTGCTGGCTGGCTCACACATTTCAAAAGGTGTTATATTGTGAAAAATGTTAAATTTGCATACAAGCAGGTCATTCAGATAAAGAGTCTTCCAAGGAATCGTAAAGTATTTTCTAAGTGTTATATGGGAAAAAAACTATGTAGAAGAGTGGGTTTTCAATGTTGATGAGACTGGCTTATCTTTACAAGGACATTGACAAAGGAACCTATACACAGATGGCCTCCAAAGCTCCTGGCTTTGAACCATTCAAAGGCCATATACTTAATTACCTATAAGAACAATATGTTAAGTAGGTTATCTTTAAAGAGAACCACCTGTAAAACAAGGTTGCATATTGATCATTTAACAAAAATGTCGTGACCAGAGGCTCTCAGGAACCTAATCTGTAGTTTCACTAGGAGCAGTAGTTCTGTATTTATTAGTTCAGTGTTCAGAGTAACTTTATAGAAAGTAACTACTGAAAATAATGAGAATCGACTCTAAATATATAAATGTGTTTATAAACAGCTTCCATTTAAAGCTTTAAGGTGTTATAGGGTATATTAGTGATACTACAATTTCTACACTCTTCCTGAATTTATCTTTTCCTAATTTGCTGTTTTTTTGGAGGCATATAGTAAAATTATAAATACAATGCATTTATTTGTGTTTAGTTTTACACTTACAGGTAATTATCAAGAACTCTAAAAGATCAGACTTTATCCTAATTAGGGAAGATAACAAGTGAGTATGTCACAGTTGTGAGGATGTTGTTAAGAGATATGAGACTCTTGGGTCACAGATGAAAGACGGTTTATTACTCACAGCAGTAGCAGTATCCAGAATGTTATTTTTGTGCCAGCTCCCCCTGTGGCAATTCCCACAGGGTGATGTGAAGAGGGTAAACTAGTACCCTCATATGCTCTTGGTTGTGTTGTAGGAAAGGAACCCTGAGCTTAAGGAATCCAATCTTTTATGTTAGGACAGTAAGGATGCCTTCCTTTTGCTCTGGAAGGAAACCCTATCTTTTATCTTCCAAGGCTGTTGGCTGTACAAACATCCTTGAAAAGATAGTTTATAACAAAGAACAATCAGTATGTCTCTTGCAAGACATGCAGAAATGCAAGAGATCTGTGGAGTATTGTCTTCCAACATTAGTTACTTTTATTTTATATGTAGTTGCATTTGCTAATTTATGCACGTATTTGTACATGTTTGTTCATACGTACATTTTTAAATGTTTGGTTCTTATATAAGTTTTCTTTTTTGTGTATTTAGTATGTAATGGTAACACATTTATATATTATTTAATGTATTTGTTTCTATTTGTGCTTATTTTCATTTCTATAGAATATCACTAGTAATATAAATATGTGCATACCCCTTTATGTTTGGATTATTTACTAATGTTTGCATGCGTGCTGCTATTTATACACCTCTTATATTCTTACAACTCAGGGTTAGTTGGGCTAAGGCCTGATCAGGGCTCACAGGCCAGTCCCAGGGTGCCTCCTGTATCTCCCCAGCCCTGCAGGCCTGGTCACCAGCCCAGTAGGTGGATTCTGTGGGTGGAGTGGCAGTGGTTCCACCTGGGTACCAACCCATCCTGGCCCACCCTCAGCCCCACAGGAGATAGGATCCGAAGCAAAGTTGAGCTGACCCGATACCTCGGCCCTGCGTGCGACCTCACCCTCTTCGACTTCAAACAAGGCATCTTGTGCTATCCAGCTCCCAAGGTACTACACAGTATGGGGTACCCAGGCAGGGATAGCTGAGCCACCTAACCCTCACCCACTGACCTATATTCTTCCTGCCATTACTCTCATCTTCAGACCAGTTCCTTGGCCATCCCCAGCAAGAAGCGTAAGAAGGCTTCAAGGCCAGCCAAGTCACGGAAACGTCAGGTTGGATCCCAGAGGGGTGAGATCAGGAAGGAGGCCCCAAAGGATGAAACCAAGGCTGATGCTGACACAGCCCCAGCTTCACTCCCTGCACCTGGGTGAGTATTGTCCTGAAGTAAGCCAAGTGGTTGGGGGAGCACTCAGGGCCCCACACCCATGTTTCCCATCACAGGTGCTGTGAAAATTGTGGAATCAGCTTCTCAGGGGATGGTACCCAAAGGCAGCGGCTCAAGACACTTTGCAAGGACTGCCGAGGTCAGTGGCCGATGGGGCACTGGGAGATAGGAGCTGGAGCAGGCCTGGAGTCAGGCTAGGACACTAGTGTTTGGCTGAAGGTTGAATGGTGGATGTCAGGGCAGAGGCAGTGAATGAGGTCCAGTATCTGATGCTCTCTTTCCACTTCTCTTTTTCTCTCTCTCCCTCCTCGCAGCACAGCGAATTGCTTTCAACCGGGAGCAGAGGATGTTTAAGGTAAGCATGACCTGCCTCCTCCACACAAGTGTGCGGTGGAAACAGGATGTGGTGGGGTCTGGTGGAAGGTCTAAAGAAACAGTGATGGATCCATAGGGTGTCAGTCGTCTTGTAGGGAGCCAGCTGTGGTCAGCAGACAGTAATGGGAGTTAATGGGGTATCAGGAGATACAGTGATGAGGTCAACGGGGGTCAGTAGACATCTGTGATGGCCTCAGCGATGGTGGCTAATCAATAATCAGATACATTGATGAGACAAATGAGGGACTAGCAGACGTAGTGATGGGGACTAATGTGGGGTCAGCAGACGTGTGAGTGGCAGTACTCCTGGAGCCACTCTGCCTGGATCTCATCTTGCCCCATCCACTTCTGGCAGCGTGTGGGCTGCGGGGAGTGTACAGCCTGCCTGGTAACTGCGGACTGCGGGGCCTGTTCCACCTGCCTTCTGCAGCTGCCCCATGATGTGGCCTCGGGGCTGTTCTGCAAGTGTGAGAGGAGACGGTGCCTCCGGATTGTGGAAAGGGTGAGTCAGGCAGGTGGGGTGGTCCCAAGGCTCACTCTGGCCCCCTGATCCTCTTAGCCCTGTCTCCATGCATCACACCTCCGGCTCCCCAACAGAGCCGAGGGTGTGGAGTATGCCGGGGCTGTCAGACCCGAGAGGACTGTGGCCGTTGCCGAGTCTGCCTTCGCCCTCCACGCCCTGGTCTCAGGCGCCAGTGGAAGTGTATCCAGCGGCGCTGCCTAAGGGTGAGTCAGGCTGAAGGGGCCAGTTCTGGCATAGCCAGGGCTGGGGCAGAGGTCATTCTGCTGTCAAAGTTGCTGTGGCTGCTGGTTCCTCCCAACCTGGCCTTGCCCAGCTCATGTCTTCTTTTCTCCCCAACACCATGCTCACCTTCCTGGCCTACGTACCTGCCCCTATCTGCCAGCACCTTGCCCACCGGCTTCGTCGCCACCATCAGCGATGTCAACGACACCCTCCCCTACCTGTGGCTCCCCCCGCTGTGAGTGCCCTATCCCACACTCTGCCTGCCTGTCTCATGCATGCTTTCTGCACTCTCTGGGAGTGACGGGGGAGCTCTGGTGCCACCAAGCGTAAATTACCCTTTCGGCTGTCTCCCAGGGTAAACGTGGCCACCACAGGGGAGGCTGTGACACCAAGATGACTGCCAGGCAGCTTCCCCAAACCCAGCCCCCACCTCCGATTCCTCCATCGCAGCCTCCAGAGTCACCAGAGCTGGTGAGTCCCTGGTGGGCAGGGGGAAGGCACAACCCTAACCTTACCCAGTACCTGCCCTGACCCCACCCCCATTTGCCTCTGCAGCACCCCAGAGCCCTGGCCCCCTCGCCACCTGCCGAGTTCATCTATTACTGTGTAGACGAGGACGAGCTAGTGAGTGGCCCTACCCTACCTGGACGATTATAGACTGTCCCAGAGCACTTGGTTGACCCCAAAGAAATAAATTCTGCAATGGGCCTAATAGAGGAACAGCAAGGCACAGTAACAAGTACTAGTATGAGATGAGCAGACAATGGGGGAAAGGCTAATATGGGATCAACAGGTGCAGTGGAAGTACCTAAAGTCACATGAATGAATACTTCTGTGGGGCTAATAGAGGAAAAGCGGGCACAGTGACTGGAGTTCACATAGAATAAGGAGACATAGATGCAGTGATGGGAGGTAATAGAAGATTAGCAAAATCCTGCTAGAGGTGGGGGTCAAAGACATTGTCTTGGTAGCTAGTGGGAGACTAGCAGATAGAGTGGTGGATATTGTGTTGGAGCAGCTACAATCCTAATGATATCCTAATGGTATACATCTAGTAAAATGATAGTGCCTGATGTTGGACTAGCAGACACTGAGGTGTGACTGGGGGCAGTCAGGCTGACTGGTATGCAGCCAGTTCCCTGCAATGGGGCTAGTGGAGGAGCCAAAGGAAGAGCACTATAATAGTTCCAGTGACCGCTCCCTATACCCCCTGTTGCCCAGCAGCCTTACACGAATCGCCGACAGAACCGCAAGTGTGGGGCCTGTGCAGCCTGCCTACGGCGGATGGACTGTGGCCACTGCGACTTCTGCTGTGACAAGCCCAAATTTGGGGGCAGCAACCAGAAGCGCCAGAAGTGTCGTTGGCGCCAGTGCCTGCAGTTTGCCATGGTGAGTGGGGCAGGAGGGGAATGTGAGTGGGATAAGTTGGGCCAGCCTCCCAGTGCCTGGAAGTGGTGGGCAGTCCTGATATGGGGTGGGTGGGGCATTGGGTTTGGCCACAGATTAACAGACATTGCACTGGGGTAAATGAAGAATTTGGGTGGCACTGGCATTGCTAACAGGAGACTGACAGACTCAGTGATGAGGGCCTCACATGTAAGTAGATTCTCTGCTAGGACTAATGGGAGATTTGTAGGCACATTGATCAGGGCAGCATAGAGTGGTTGGTCATGGCACCAGGTGGCCATAAAGCCCCATCTTTTCTCACAGAAGCGGCTGCTGCCAAGTGTCCAGGCAGGGTCTGAGGAAGGGGCAGGGCCGCCCCCACCTTGCCCTCATCGAAAGAGGCCTGGCTCTACTCATCGGCTCCGTCTGGGCCAGACCCTGAAGGCCCCCTTGGCCACACCCACAGTCCTGCCAGACCATGCTCAGACTCCAGTGAAGCAGGAAACAGACAGTGGCTTTGTGCTGCCCCCACCTGGCACTGACCTTGTGTTTTTACGGGAAGGTGCAAGCAGTCCCGTGCAGGTGCCTGGCCCTGCGCCAGCTTCCACAGAAGCCCTGCTGCAGGTGAGGGCCCCATCTTATTCTGCCTCTCCCAACCCAGTCTCATGCCTAGAAGCTCGGACCAAGTCTGCTGCAATCCTCCTTCACACAGGAGGCGCAGTGCCCTGGCCTGACTTGGGTTGTGGCCTTACCTCAGGTGAAGCAAGAGAAGGCGGATGCCCAGGATGACTGGACACCGGGCACAGCCAGCCTGACTTCTCCTGTATTGCTGCCTGGCTGCCCCAGCAAGGTGGGGGTCAACGATGGGTGGTCTATGAGTGATGGTGAGCCATGACTGTGGTTCTTGAGCAGAACAGTAGGTGTGCTGATTGCAGCCTGTCCACAGAATTATGCTTCCTGTCTGTCAGATGCCTCACCTCCCAGGCAACTAGATTTACCTGCCTTGCTTGCAGCAGGGTTTACTTGCCCAACTAACAGAAAAAATGGAAATCTATGAGGAATAGGAAAGGTTTATAGGCAGAGAGATGGTTTTTCTGAGCTGACATGTGATAGAAGTGGGACTTGGCAGCACAGTGACAGGCTGGCTGATAAAGGCTCTTTTCTAGGCCAGCCATCCCTTCTGACTGCTGCCCATTTCCCACCTCTTCCAGGCAGTAGACCCAGGCCTGCCACCTGTGAAGCAAGAGCCACCTGACCCTGAGGAGGACAAGGAAGAGAGCAAGGATGACTCTGCCTCCGATTCAGCCCCAGAGGAGGAGGCAGGAGGGACTGGCACGCCTGTGGTCAGTGCTGGGGGACACCTCACCCTGCTCTGACCCTGCTTAGCCCCACAGGCCATGTTGATGCATGATGTTAATTCTTCTCCAGATCACGGAGATTTTCAGCCTGGGTGGAACCCGCCTCCGGGACACAGCAGTCTGGTTGCCAAGGTGGGCCCCGCACAGTGAGGGGTGGGGATGGGGTAGGTGCTGGTCAGAGTTTTGAAAGTACAACCAGCAAGTTGGCGTGGTGCAGTGGGAGGTGAAGACCCACACCACTGCGCTCATCATGATCAATGAGGGGGTGTGTATAGGACCCTAGAGATTTCTCCTGAGGTGCAGGTCAGGACCTCTGTCGTCTCGGGATGAGGTGGGGGGTATGGGTACAGGTGTCCTGTGTTGAGGTTTGAAAAAAAAAGGGTAGGAATGCCTGATCCCTATTCCCCTAAGAAAGTCCAGCAGGAGTCAGACATAAACTCTTACTTAGAGAAGCATCATTTGGGGTCTTGAAGGCCTTTGATGTCTCCAGGAGATGACCAGGTGGGCTGGGAAGTCATGGGTGGGCAGGAAATCTTGGTGCTGAGATAGTGCTATGATCTGGGACTGTACACAACTGTGATCCTGGGCTAGTGCTGCGCCTCCTGCATTATCCTTTGTGCAAGGGGTTAGGGTGTGTTTCTTGAGCTTTTCCTGAGCCTTTTGAGGTTATTAACAGTTTCAGCTATTGGACAGAATTGTCCCTGCAGGTCTGGCAGTAGGACAAAGGAGAGGTGCCCATAAGCACTCAGATATTGGGAGAAGAACGGGAATGCCATCTCCTGCAGAATGATGACGTGCTCTGCATAGAGCCTAAGGCATAGGCAACATTAACTGTTAGCCTAAGCATCTGAATTCCTTTGTGCCTACAAACTAGTTTTCTGCAGGCCAGAAACTTGCATTTGTGTTTGGGCAATTACAGTGGTACTAATTGAGCCTCTACTGGGTACACTGCAGTGAGAGATTCAGTGGTTTGAATACAGTGAGCCTGGAAGGCTTCTGGAGACAAAGGATTCCTACCTTCAGGGAACATGTCATCTAACTGGGGCAACAATTTTCCTATGTGTAAAATCATTACATATTAACTAAAAAGGTAATGATGTGCTTTGTTTTTTGTAATGGAACATTACAGAAGAGAGATAAGGGATAATTATGGGAAAGTGGATGGGGGACACAGAATAGTAGGAAATCGTTTTGTGATGCTCCATTTTGCACATAGTGAACCTCATTCAACATATAGACCTGCTCCCTCTTCTCTAGGTCCAAGGACCTTAAAAAACCTGGAGCTAGAAAGCAGTAGACTGGAGGCTTCTGCAGACTATAGGATTCAAGGTGATATTTACAGACCGGCTTTATGAGAGAACACTGATCTACTCAGAGGCTGGACCATAGATCCAGAGGCTTATGTAGGAGTCAATAGGAACTGGGAAAACCTACCACCAAACCAGACAAGCAGTACTCTGATCAGAACTTTGAGCTTATAGAGGAAGTAAGCAGAAAAGGAAGAGAAAGAATAGAAATGTGGTGTATCTGCTCCAACTGGTCCAATCCCAAGGAGCTTGAATGTGATAAGTGTGGACGTTAGGGGTGGTGGAGGGGACGTAATTAAAGCCCCAACAGAATAGTCTAAACAAGCCATCTTCATAAATGATTTTAAATGGCTTCTGGATGAGACCTGGCAGTGTGTCTAGTCATTTTCTCAGGGAGACAGCAATTGAAAATGTAATGTGAATAAATGAGGATCTGCTGTTTATTGAGTTCCTCCTATTGACTATTTAATCCTCAAAACAGTTTTTATAGGAGGACATTGATTTTGCCCATTTTCACAGATGGGAAAACAGACTTAAAGATATTAAGTAACTTGTCCACTGTCACACGGCTAGTATGGACAGAGCTTAGAATCAAACCCAGATTGTAAAAACCTTTTCTTTAATCAGTCACTAAATTGTAAACTGTAATCTTGTATTCAATAATGTATAATAATATAGTAATAGAATTTTCCAGTGACCTTGAAAAAAAACAAGGTGGATTACTCTAAGCAATTCTTTATACTGCTGCCTGTAGCATGGTTTAGGGAGGGCCAAGGATGGGGATGGGGTGGATGGGGTCACCTTGTCAGAACACCTGTGCATCCAGAGAATGGGTTCTTCCCAGACCTCTGGCCCTGTGTTAGGATTCCTCAAATCCTAAAGAGCATCCTTCTTTACTGGTTGCTGTCCATTTTGCTTGTTACCCTCCCTCCTCCTCCTCAGCCAAAGTAGCCTGCAGAAGTAAAGCTGTTAGCCTGCTCATCTTTGCTGACAACTTGTGTCCTCTGCCCCTTGATGACCCTTGTGCTTGGTTTCTGCTCTCAGCCCCTGTCTGCTAAGTCTGAGTTCTTGCTTCAGATCCTCCCAAAGGGCCGGTCGTGGCCCAGCCCTCACATCCCAGTTCTTCTTAAAGTACTAAAAAGATTAAGACTTGTGATTCATTACTTAGCTATCTTTATAGGGCCTGGACTGAGTAGGTGCATCCTTAAATCTTGTAGCCTATGTGCCTCCCTTGCCTTATGCTAGTCCTAGCTCTGCAGCTTTAGGTAATTCATATGTAGATTGGCCACTTCCTAACCATTAGTTCAATAGAGCCCTCTGCCACTTCCCCTGTCTTTTCTTTCTCCTTGTCCTACCTACTTCAGTTAAAGTCAAGACTGGTTAATTTTCTCATATTGTTTTGCTCCCCCCAGGATCCATCTACGCAACCCAAGTATTCTGTGATGTCCTAAGTGAAACTGATTGGCATTCTGATCCATGATAAGATCTGGTTCCTATGTGTATTAGGGTACAATCAGAAAAGCAGCACCACTATAAGATTATATATATATATATATATATGTATGTATATGTATATGTATAGATGTGTGTGTGTGTGTGTGTGTGTGTGTGTGTGTGTATTAAGGGATTTGTTATAGGGATTTGACTTAATGAAATTGTGGGAGCTGGTTAAACAGTCACTGTAAGGCTGTTGTCTTTGCATCTAATGCTGGAGCTTGAAGTCTGCAGGGCAGGCAATCGGGAAGGGAAGATGGATATAAAGTGTGGGAGACCGAGGATATGTTGGCGCCCAAGAGCACAAGCTGGAACCCACAAGGATGGCCTCGAACCCATGTCAGTCTCTCACCACCTTCAACTTCGATGATGTGGGTGTCCTGTAGAAGAAGCTGGTGCCCTTCATCACAGAGTTAAATATGCATCTGGCCCAGGAATTAGAGAAGATCCCGGGGAAGGTGGAGCAGCTGCAGGCCTGGCTGCAGGCCTGACTGCTGCCCCACACCAACGAGGTGAGCCAGCAGATAAGTGACAACATGTGTGACCTGCAACAGTGCCTGGTGCCCCTGCACCAATCTTCCAAGTGTAAAAACAATGTGCTGCTGCTTCACTTCTGCCCTCCAGTTATGACGCAGAATGTCTCTTGTGGCCCATTCCAGCCGGAATCATACGGGGAAGGGAGTTCTGGGAAACGTAGCCTAGTCAAGGGACACATAACAAAGCCACCCTGCCATGAATCAGCTCCCAAGGGTCTCACTACTCACCTGAGGATAACTTGATAAAGCTACGTTGCTGAAAATGCAAAGCTGAAGACCATGGATTTCATGGTGACCCCAGCAAGTACAGAAATTCTGACAAGCCTACCCAGAAAAAACTTGCTGGTCTCGGCTATTTTTGTGTCATTCATTCAAGTATTGAGAACCTGGCCCATGGTAGGCACTGTACTTAATACTGGGATACAGGAATGAAAAGAGGTAGTCCATGCAATTTTATTAAATTCATCAATATGTATTACAGATGGTGAATGGATTTCCAACTTTATCATGGAATTTAATGGTGAAAATAGAGAACTCAGGAACTATCGGGAGGACAGCCCTTGTGTGAGCCTTGTTGGGACACAATAGGAATTGGAAATAATATAAATAGTTTTTATCTCTAAGCTGTTCTATTTTAAAGTTATTTTAAAATGATTTTTATCGTCCCATTACTCATTCATATACTTAGTGTTTCTTTTGGGAGTGCCTTGATGGTGGTAACAATGTTGACCGTCTCCGAGAAAGTGAGGAAGTGGGTGGCAAGATAAAGGTCAGGTTCTGGACAAGGACCTTAGTCGAAATCACTTCTCTGTCGGGGGGCGGAAAGGGGCGGGGTGGGGAGGGGTGGCCGAAGGCGGGGGTTCACCGCGCTGGCGTCCTGGCATCGTCCCTCCAATATTCCGAGTAGGCCCGCCAGGGGGCGCCGAAACCGCGGTCATCCAACTGGGCTTGCGAGTCTCTGCACTTCGCCTTTGGCCTGGGCGGCCTGGGGCGTGGCCTCCGCCCGGCGGAGACGTCAGTCCGTGACTGGACGGGAGGAAAGCCTACTTTCTCCTTTGTGTAGTGGTAAAACAGGCAAAATGGAGCCGCAGTTAAATTACGGGGCTCGCCAGGGGTGAGGGCGAGGCACGACGAGCTCAGGACCGGCGCTGGGACGTTCGAGGGCAGCCGGGTGTCGCCAGGGGTCGGTTTACCCTGTCATCAAACAGTTCAGCGGGACCCTACGGGCTGTACGAGCTCCGGGGTCCCCGACGGGTGCTCCTGAATCTCAGAGGCTTTTCCCAAATCCCAAGCCTGACTGAGGGCGTTCTCATTGCCTCTCTTCTTCCCAAGGGGTGTGGTATGAGGGGTGGTTCCACCCGACCAACTGGCAGGCCAGGCACCCTTGGTACTCGAAGATCAAGGAACTGGCCCTCAGGACTGTCCAGGGAACTGGGACGACCATCTAATTTCTTTCTCTTTTATTTGTTTCAGGCTACGTAAACTCTTAACAGTAAATGAAAATGAGTATTTTGCCGAACTGCAATTGAAAGAAGAAGCATTATAGGAGAAAAAAACAAAATGAGAGTTATTAAAAGAGATTATTAAAAGAGAAGAAAGAGACATTATTTTGTGGCTGAAAAACTGAACCAGCAATTCAGGAAATGGAATCCAAATCTAGAAACTTAACACATACAAAACCCGAAGTGGGTGGATTACAAATGATTAAGGAATGCTATTTTACAGTAAATTGCGGCCTTAATGTGGTATACACAGTAGTTGTACTTTGGTTATTATTACAGTTTAGTTACTGACTAGGTACTGATTTTTTCCTTTGCTCTATCTCGTGTTCTATGTTTGCCCCCCACTTAAGGAGAGTACCAAAGTGTCATTATTAACTGGCTCTTATGTATTAACTACCACCTGGCTCTTGACTGGAAGTATAGCTGTGGTCTACACCTGTGCTGAGGGCCCCTTCTAGGTTCCGTGATCTGTGTTGCCTGTTCCCTTGCCTGGGATCCAGATTCTCAGGGCCTTATCACCTGCACTTATCTGTGTCCTGACCCTGGTCCACTGTGACCCTTGACTCAGACTCTTAGTCTTTGTTTTGCCCAGCCAGATTGTGTCACTGCCCTACCAGCCCATCTGATCTGCCCCCACGCTAGGGTACCTCAAGTCAAAGCCCTCGTTTCTGCCAAGTGCAGTAGGAATATTTTAACATTTATCATTCCTGGTCGGGTGGGCTGACAAGGTACTTAGGCTGTCTGAACCCTAATTGCCCCAGCTGTGAAACGAGGGTATTATCTGCCATTCTACCAACTCTCTAATATATTGTAAGGTTCAAAGTTTTTATGTGATAGTATCTTGCAAACTATTGTAAAAAACTACACAGATACAAGGTCCTGTGATGATTATTACTGTCATTATCAAGATTAACCTAGAGATGACCACAAAATTTAACTTTCCTTCAAAATGTCCACTAACCTTTCTCATTCTTTTAGACAAATTACAGGATATAAATAGCAAAGTGAGTTGGAATATAATTAGATTTCCTTCACTTGTGGTTAAGGAAGCTTTTTCCTGCCATTGTGATGAACCCTAGAGGAAGGGAGTGAGGTCAGCTGGAAGCCTGAGCAAGGTTCGGGTGAGGGCCGCGCAGGCTCAGCTCCTCCACTACAAGAGGAAGTCTCGAGTGCTGCGTCTACTGTCGCCATAGTGACGGGACCAGCTTTGGCCCCACCCACCTGCCCCTTAACCCCTGAGACGCACCATGGCAACCAGACCTTTGTAACGCACAAGCCTGTCTCACAGGTCGTCGCGGTTGAGCAACCGCGGTAGAGGCGTCCCCCGTCCCGAGGGGGCTCGAAAATGTACAGCCAGCGGTTTGGCATCCTACAGCGGGAGGTTAAAGGCCCCACTCCCAAAGTGGTGATCGTGGTAAGCAAGGGATGTGTGTGCAGGCTCTACTGCTTTCTGTATTTCCCGGCCCTGCAGGCCCAGTGGAGCCCATACTGGTACGCAACCTGTCCCCTATCGGGAGTTTTCTCAAAGGGAGCAGGTGCCTGATGCAGTGTGTTAAATTTTGAAAGAAGGAAGGATAGAGTTGCTCACCTAGCTCCCGTATTCTATTCCTCCAGCCCAGCCTTGCACAAGTTACAATACTTAGATTCTGTATTGGTGGGGAGGAGGGCAGGAAATCTGGGGTCTGGCCTGGCAGTGTTTCAGCTATGTGATCTTGGGCTGGTCCTGCAGTTTTAGAAAAATTGTATGTAGGCTGTGAGTGGTGCCAATTCAGTTGTAACAGAAAAGTTCCTGCAGGCCTGGAAATAGGACAGTTGGTTGCCTCTAAGCTGGGTTGGTGATTTAGAATCCAGGGGAATGCTGTGTACTACAAAATTTGATGGGTCCTGCTCAGAACCCCAAGGCAGTTGGCCCATGTACTTGTATTCCTTTGTTCCTACAAACTAGTTTCTACAGGCTAGAAAACCTCCCTGTGTCATTAGTGAATTACAGAGGTATTATGTGAACGTCTGCTGTGTGCTCAGCACCGTAGAAGGTACAGGGATGAATACAATGACCCTGGGAGGTTTACTCTTCATTAGAAGTCTGATCCCTACCTTCCAGTTGCTTATCATTTAACTGCAGAAGGATTTGCTTATGCATAAAACCATTAAAGATTAACGCAGTAGATAATTATGTGCTATATTGTCTGTCATGCTACTTTATGGAAGAAAGATGAGGGGTAATGAGGGATCCAATTTTATTATGTTCAGCGGTACACATAGCAATTCTTGGTCAACTTACAGACCAGCTCCCTCTTCTCTAGGATCTTCTATAGGATCTGTGTCTGGAAATCAGTTGACTGGAGGCTTCTATACACTATAGGGTTCAAAGTGAATTACAGACATATTTCATGAGGGACAGAAACCTGGGTATTTCGGGTTCTGTATCCAAACAGAGCTCAGGGGCTGGGATATTAGTCATGTGCCATTACTTGTGTTGGGAACCAATAAGGAATAGGAGAAAAAAGTTACCACCAAGTAAGAGAGGCAGGCTTATTGAATAATTTGAGCTTCTAGAAGAATAAAGAGAAAAAGGGAAAGGTCAGAATTGGTGCATCTCAGATGTCAGAGTGTGATAAAAAGTGTGGATGTTAGAGGCTGCAGTATTGTGGTGGGGGAAGAATTAAAGCCACCAGAGATGAGACGTGTATGCTAAACAATTAGAAGGAAAAAATAAAAAATGTCATGTGCTAAGTAATGGAGAAGCAAAAGGAGCAGTTACTTGGTGAATGTTGCCTAGGGAACCAATTATTTAATTCTCAAAATACTTTTTTAGGATATTTATTTTGCTCAGTTTGACAGGTGATAAAACAGACTCAGAAGAGTCTGCTTAAGATCATATAGTTAGTAATGGGTAGAGGCCAGAATTAAACCTAGACTGTAAGACATTGTTCTTTAAGACATAAAAATTGTACAGTGTAGTACTAGAAACTAATTTGAGACGTTACAGTAACAAAAGCCTTCAGTGACCTTGAAAACACAAGGTAGTTATTAAATCCTGCATTCTCCTGCCTTCAGCATGATTTAGAGTTGCGATGTCTAGTACGGTGGCCACTAGCCACACATGGCTTTTGAGCACTTGAAATGTGCCTCGTCACATGTTGAAATGACAATATTTTGGATATATCAGTTAAATAAAATATATTATTAAAATTAATTCCCCCTGGTTCTTTTTACTTTGTAAAATGCAGCTACTAGAAAATGTTAAATTACAGATCTGTTTTACACTCTATGTCTGTTAAATAGCAGTTTTTGAGTAATGCTGTGACTGTGTGTGGATTGGCATCACCTTGTTAGAGAACTTCAGGTCAAGCCTTATTCATCCAGAGACTAGGTGCTTCCTGACAACAGAGTCCCACACAGGATGCTCTGTACCTTGAGGGGCTTCCTGACCCTCTGGCTACTGCTCAGGTTGTTCTCTTTACCCCATTCCCCTCTTCAGTCAAAATGTACCTCTGAGCCTGGTTCCTGTCCTGACAATACAAGACAATTGATTCTTGATGACCGTGATGCTTGGCTTTTATTCTCAATCCTTGTGTCTCCTAGGAGCCTATGTATTCTGCCTTCAGTGTAGTTTTGACTCTGTTCTGCTTCATTGTTCCTGAATCTGCATTCATAAAATGCTGTTCATATTAAGAGAACACTAGTTTGTTAATTAACTGGCTCTAGGCTCTAAATAATTCTGACTTGGATTAGCTACTTCCCATGCTATAATCCCCAACATCATCTATTTACAATCCACCTCAGCCCTGCTTTATCTTGTTCAACTAAATCTAGGTACCTGTATGTGTACACTGAGCTCTGAATCTTTTCATCAAGTAATCTTTAAACGTTGATTTTTCTTTACCCAGGAGACTCCTTTACCAAGAATCAACCCTAGTGTTCTGGTAATTGACTCAGTCACCTGAGTTAAGAGTTAAGAGTTTTGTTACTGTGAATCAGCACCCTAGAGTCTTGCTATTCACCTAAGGCTGACTTGATAAAAAACTGTCTGGAAATACAAAGGTCAAGACTATGGATTTCATGGCGCTTCCAAGAGGAGCAGAAATTTGCATCAAGCCCACCCAGACACACTGTTTCATTTGTTAACTCATTCACTCATTCATACTGAGAAACTGACAGTGGTCAGCATTATGCTCAATATTAGGAATACAGAAATAAAAGATAGTCCATGTGATTTATTAATTGTTATCAATATATATTCAAAATGGTGTATGCATTTCCACCTTTTTAGTAGAAGTTTGTATAAAAAGAATATGTTTAACAAAATTCAGGTTACCCCAAAATGTCAGGAGCACAGCCCTTGCCTTAAATTTCTGGGCACAATAGAGACAGGAATAAAGTTTTACTATGAGTTTTCTTTCTCTTTTTTCCTTTTCTTTACCTCCATTCCCTCCCCCCACCACCACTCTTCAACCCCCACACCCCCAACCCCCCACCTTCTGTCTTATTAGTAAAGGCTTTTTCATTGTCACAACTCATTATATATATCCTATACACTGAAATAGTAGCCTCTTTGAACTGAAAGTATTTTCCTGGGCAAAACTATGCTGGTCTGCTCCTGAGAAACAATGTGGGATAGTGGGTGGCAAGGTAAAGGCCAGGAAGTAGAATGCCTATAATTCTATCCAGGTCTGCCCTAAGTATTTCAAGCAGTTTGGACAAATCACTTAATATCTCCAGGTTTGATTGGGTAATCTCTATTGTTCCATTCATATTTTGAACTTTTACTCAAATGGCACAAGACAGATTTGATAATATCTTGGTATAGGCTCAAAGAATCAACCTTAGGCACTAGACACCTAAACCGTTTGCAGTTGTAACAGGATGTATTTGTTTTATTATATACCCAGTTTAATTAGTGTGAGTATTGGTGGAAGTAATGATTAATTGAAAATATGCAATTGATTCTGGGTCTATCATAAATGATAGTTACTTGTTTTCAGAGAGCCAGGACTCCCAGAGGCCAAGGGGCTGAGCAACATCTGGAAAGAATCCAACACGGCGGTCAAAAACGTCATGCTATTTTGGCTTCCATTAAGTCAAAGGAGAGGGATCGCTTTAAGGTTGAGTGGGACCAGCACAATGACCGCAAGTTTATGGACAGTCTTGTGAAAGCAAGAATCAAGGATGCCATGCAAGGGTATATCATCAATACTGAAGAAAGACGAAATAAGTAAGACTCACAAACCTGAACTATGAACTATTACTAAAACCACAGCTTGAGAAATCAAGTGAACTCTTAATAGTAAGGATCATGGCTGAAATACTCATATTCCTATCAAATCAGTAGCTCTTGCTGGTTTATATTTGTACTTATGATATCTCATGTTTGATAGAAAGCAAAAGAATATATTGGTTCATATTTTGTTACTATAACTAAAATGTGTTCATTTTACTTTTGTTGAAGAAATACATTATATATCTTATCTATATGTCATCAAATAAAATGTGGCACAGATCAGTTTATTGCTTTAAATGGCAAGTAGTCTTATAGAAGACTCTAATGATCTTTTTCTTGCAAAATTTATGATTAAACATGCTTCTGGAATTGAATATAACAAAATAAAAAATCACTTAGTAAAATGATGCATGTGGCATGACAAGTTTAATTACTTTTCATTTTGTTTTAGGCTACGTGAACTTCTAGCATCAGAGGAAAATGAATATTTTACTGAAATGCAATTGAAAGAAGAAACAATTGAGGAGAAAATAGATAGAATGAGAGAGAAAACCAGATTATTAAAAGAGAAGAAAGAAAAAGAGAGACAGGATTTTGTGGCTGAAAAGCTAGAACAGCAATTCAGGTAATTATGTCAAAAACACAGAATCTGAAGTTGGTATATGAAAAAAAGATTTAGGAATGCTAATTTACAGTAAAGTATAGCTTTAAAGGTATACACAGCAGTTGTAGCTTTAAGTCTTATTCATTATATATATATAATATATATAAAATTGAATAATGTAGGTAATGAGTTTTGTGGTAAGAATGCTGAAGATCTATCTTCTTAGCAAATTTCAAGTGTACAATATAGTATTATTGCTTATAGTTACCATACTGTACATTAGGCCTCCAGAACTTATTCATCTAAATAAAATTTTGTATCCTTTTATTAACATCTCTGCATGAGATCATATAATATTTGTCCTTTTTTGGCTTACTTCATTTAGTATAATATTCCCCAGATTTATCCATATTATCTCAAATCGCAGTATTTCCTTCTTTTTTACACTGAATAATATTCCATTGTATATATGTATATAGCACATTTTCTTTAACCATTCATACATCTCTGGAAACTTAGGTTGTTTCCATATCTTGGCTATTGTGAATAATGCTTCAGTGAACGTGGGAGTACAGATATCAAGATACTGAGTTCCTTTGGATGTATACCCAGAAATGGGATTGCTGGATTATATGGTAGTTCTATTTTTAACTTGTTGAGGAACCTCCATACTGTTGTCATAATGGCTATACCAATTCACATTCCCACCAATAGTGTACAGGGCTTCCTTTTCTCTGCATCTTTGCCATCTCTTGTCATTTGGATAATAACCATCCTAATAGGTAGTGATATCTCACTATAGTTTTGATTTGCATCTCTCTGATGATTAGTGATATTGAACACCTTTTCCTGTACTTGTTACCATTTGTATGTCTTCTTTGGAAAAATGTCTATTCAGGTCCTTTGTTCATTTTTTAATCAGATTATTTATTTTTTTGCTATTGAGCTGTATGAGTTCCTTATATATTTTAGATGTTAACTCTTTAATAGATATATGGTTTGAAAATATTCCATAGGTTGTCTTTTCATTTTGTCAACTGTGTCCTTTGCTTTGCAGCAGTTTTTAAACATGATATTGCCCCACTTCTTTATTTTTGCTTGTGTTGCCTTTGTTTTTGATATCATATCCAAAAAGTCATTGTCAAGACCAATGGCAAGGAGTTTTTCCCTATGTGTTTCTTATATGTGTTTCACAGTTTCAGGTCTTATATTTAAGTCTTCAGTTCATCTTGAGTTAATTTTCATAAATGGTGTGTATAGACATCCAATTTCATTCTTTTTCAGGTGGATATCCAGTTTTCCCAAGACTATTGAAGAGACGATCCTTTCCCCATTGCGTGTTCTTGGCCTCCTTGTAAAAGATTAGTTGACCTTATATGCACAGGTTTACTTCTGGACCCTCTATTTCATTCCACTGGTCTATGCTTCTGTTTTCATGCCAGTGTCATCTTTTTTTGATTACTATAGCTTTGTAATATAGTTTGAAATCAAATCTGATGCTTCCAACTTTGTTCTTCTTTCTCAAGATTGCTTTGGCTATTTGGGATCTTTTCTGGCTACATCTGAATTTTAGGATTGTTTTTCTATTTCTGTGAAAAATGCCATTGGAATTTTGAAGGGAATTGCATTGAATCTGTAGATCATTTCAGTTAGTATGGACATTTTAACAATATTAATTCCTTCAATTCAAGGACAAAGGATATCTTTCCATTTATTTGTCTTCAATTTCTTTCATTAGCATCTTATAGTTTTCAGTGTATGGGTATTTAACCTCCCTGGTTAAATTATTCCTATTTTATTGTTTTTGATGTTGTAAATAGGATTGTAAATAGGGTAAATTTTAACAGGATTGCTTTCTAATTTTTCTTTCAGATAGTTTTTAGTGTATAGAAATGCACCAGATTTCTATGTGTGAATTTCATATCCTGCAACTTTACTGTATTTCTTGATTAGTTCTAACAGATTTTGGTAGAATCTTTAGGGTTTTCAATATATAAGATCATGTCATGTTCAAGGACAGTTTTACTTCTTCTATTTTATCTTGGATGCCTTTTATTTCTTTTTCTTTCCTAACTACTCTGGCTAGAACTTCCAGTGCTATGTTGAATAAATGTGGTGAGAGTGGATGCCATTGTTTTGTTCCTGATTTTGGAGGAAAAGCCTTCAGCTTTCCACCATTAAGCATGATATGAGCTGTGGGCTTATTCTATATGGCCTTTATTAAGGAGTTATATTCCTTCTGTACCTAATTTGTTGAGATTTTTTACCATGAAAATGTGTTAAATTTTTGTCAAATGGTTTTTCTGCCTTTATCAAGATGATCATATAATTTGTATCATTCAGTTTGTTAATGTGGTGTATCACATATATTGATTTGCATATGTTGAACCATCCTTGTATCCCAGGAATAAATACCACTTGAACATGGTGTATGATCCTTTTAATGTGATGTTAAATTTGATTTGCTAATATTATTTGAGGATTTTTGTGTCTGTATTTATTAGGGATATAATTTTCTTGTACTGTCCTTGTCTGGCTTTGGTGTCAGGGTAATGCTGGCCTTGTAAAATAGTTTGGAAGTGCTCTTTCTTCTTCAATTTTTTGGAAGCACTTGAGAAGGATTTGTATTATTTCTTCTTTTAATGTTTGGTAGAATTCACCAGTGAAGCAATCTAGTCATGGTAATTTCTTGTTGGGAGACTTTTTTATTGCTGATTCAACTTACTAACTCATGATTGGTCTTTCTGATTTTATATTTCTTTGTGATTCAGTCTTAGTAGGTTGTATGTGCCTAGGAATTTATCCATTTCTTCTAGGTTATCCAATATGTTGGCATATAATTGTTCATAGTAGTCTTTATGGTTCTTTGTATTTCTGCATATTTGTTGTAATGTCTCCCCTTTAATTTCTAATTTATTTAGTCTTCTCTCTTTTTTCCTTGTTAGTCCAGCTAAAGGTTTGCCAATTTCATCTTTTCAAGAAAGCAGCTCTTAGTTCCATTGATCTGTGCTATTTTATTATGTTTCTTGTCTCTATTTCATTTATTTCTGCCCTGACCTCTGTTATTTCCTTCCTTCTACCAAGTTTGGGCATGGTTTGTTCTTTTTCTAGTTCCTTGAGGTAAAGTTAGGTTGTTTGAAATCTTTCTTTTCTCTTAAAATGGGTGTTTTTTGCTGGGAAATTCCCTTTAAAACTGCTTTTGTTGCATCCCTTAAATCTGTATATGTTGTGTTTCCATTTTTATATGTTTCAATGTATTTTTTATTCCCTTTTTTATTTCTTTCTTGATCCATTAGTTGTTTAGGAGTGAGTTGTTTAATTTCCACATATTTGATAACTTTTCAGCTTTCTTTCTGTTATTGATTTCTAGTTCGATATCATTGTGGTTGGAAAAGATTCTTGATGTGATTTCAATCTTCTTAAATTTGTTAATCCTTCTTTTTTTTGTAACCTAACATATGATCTGTCCTGGAGAATGTTTTTTGTGTGCTTGAGAAGAATATATATTCTGAAGCTATTGGATGGAATGTTCTGTATATGTGTGTTAGGTCCATTTAATCTAAAGTGTAGATCAAGTGCAGTGTTTCCTAATTGATTTTCTGTGTGGATTATCTGTGTACTCTTAAAAATGGAGTATTGAAGTCCCTACTATTACTGCATTGCCATTTATTTATCCCTTCAGATATATTAATATTTGCTTAACATAGTTAGGTGCCCTGATGTTGGGTGCATGTATTTTTGTAATTATTATATCCTCTTGATAACTTGTTCCCTTTATCATTAAATAAGGACCTTCTTTGTCTCTTCTTACAGCTTTGGAGTTAGTCTGTTTTTTCTGATGCAAGTATATCTACCCCTGCTCTCTTTTGGTTTCCACTTGCATGGGGTATCTTTTTCTATCCCTTTACTTACAGCCTATGTGTGTCCTTAAAGCCAAAGTGAGTCTTCTGCAAACAGCATATAGTTGGATATGTATGGATACTTGCAAATTTCCTGTCTTTGAGATCTAATATTTTTTCTTCCACTTCATCAAGTCTGATGTTGATCCTCTCTCTTGTGCTTTTCATTTTCACTTAGTGTGTTCTTTAGCTCCTGAATTTCTGTTTGGTTCTTTTTATGATTTCTAACTCTCTGTTGAATGTCTCATTTTGTTTATGGGTTGTTTTCCTTTTTTATTGAGTTGTATATCTGTGTTCTCCTGTAGCACATTGGCTGCATTAAAACAATTAATTTGGTTTCTTTGTTAGGTAATTCATAGGTTTCCATTTCTTTAGGATCAGTAAATGGAAAATTACTGTGTTCCTTTGGTGGTGTTATGTTTCTTTGATTTTTCATGTTCCTTGAAGTTTTACTTTACTTTCTTCCTATTCAAAGAAGCAATATCCTCCTCCAGTCTTTACTTCATGGCTTCAGGAAATAAATACCTCCACAAGTCAGTCCTCCTAGAAATTCTGAGGCTTTCTCAGACCTCTTTATGATGTGTCTCCCCACACTTCTTGTTTTCTTTTGAGGAGGGAATTTTTAAGATTGTATGCCTTCTCTTGGTCCTATAAAGCCAGACCAGATACTGAGAGCCTCCCATTCTTTTCCTTAGTGTGGTGCCCTGAAATGTTCAAGTATGTGCCTTCTCCCAATCACACAGTCAGGCCAGCTTTCCGTGCATTCTTGCTAGCCACCTGCAAAGGCTCACACACTCACTGTTCACTGGAGCACATGTAGGGAGCCAACCACAGGGCACATGATATGGAATGTTGGGTGTGCCTGGGTTCCAACTGGCAGGTCTGCAGGCAAGGCATCCCCAGTGGCTCATGAGTGGGCTTTCTGATGGAGTCCATGCAGTTAGATGGATCCACAACGCTTGATGAGTACCAGTCCCTGGTTGCTCCCAGCCTCTTCCAACCCCTCAGCCACAAAGATCACCTCACTATTTTGGGTGGGGCAAGAAAAAAGTAGGCCACTTGGGAAGCTGGGGGAGCCCAATGCTCATTTATGTCACATTCTTTCACTTTCCTCCACGAAAG